GTATATACATTAGAAACCATGGCAGGAAGGTTGGTCAACAAGCCCTGGAATGCTACGTCTCTGAAGAGGTACTATCAATAAAAGCTAAGTTTCAGTTTTATCGGATGTTGTTTGTTTTCAATCAAGTACGTATGAACGTGCAAATTCCTGAGATTTATAAAAATAGCTTTCCTTTTCAAGGGGTTAAAAAAAAAAAAAAATGGATGAAAAAATGAAAAAATAAAAAAGCTAAGTGGCAAGTGGCATTCTAGCCGAGCGCCAGGCACTTAAGCAAGACAAGTGGCAGCTGGCACCATGAGCCGAACGCCAAACACTTGCTAAAAATAAAAAAGCCAAGTGGCAAGTGGCATTCTAACCGAGCACCAGACACTTAAGCAAGATAAGTGGCAGCTGGCACAATGAGCTGAACGCTAAACACTTGCTAAAAATAAAAAAGCCAAGTGGCAAGTGGCATTCTAGCCGAGTGCCAAGCACTTAAGTAAGACAAGTGGCAGCTGGCACCATGAGCCGAACGCCAAACACTTGCTAAAAATAAAAAAGCCAAGTGGCAAGTGGCATTCTAGCCGAGCGCCAGGCACTTAAGCAAGACAAGTGGCAGCTGGCACCATGAGCCGAACGCCAAACACTTGCTAAAAATAAAAAAGCCAAGTGGCAAGTGGCATTCTAGTCGAGCGCCAGGCACTTAAGCAAGATAAGTGGCAGTTGGCACAATGAGCCGAACGCCAAACACTTGTTAAAAATAAAAAAGCCAAGTGGCAAGTGGCATTCTAGCCGAGCGCCAGGCACTTAAGCAAGACAAGTGGTAGCTGGCACCATGAGCCGAACGCCAAACACTTGCTAAAAATAAAAAAGCCAAGTGGCAAGTGGCATTCTAGCCGAGCGCCAGGCACTTAAGCAAGACAAGTGGCAGCTGGCACCATGAGCTGAACGCCAAACACTTGCTAAAAATAAAAAAGCCAAGTGGCAAGTGGCATTCTAGCCGAGCGCCAGGCACTTAAGCAAGACAAGTGGCAGCTGGCACCATGAGCTGAACGCCAAACACTTGCTAAAAATAAAAAAGCCAAGTGGCAAGTGGCATTCTAGCCGAGCGCCAGGCACTTAAGCAAGACAAGTGGCAGCTGGCACCATGAGCCGAACGTCAAACACTTGCTAAAAATAAAAAAGCCAAGTGGCAAGTGGCATTCTAGCAGAGCGCCAGGCACTTAAGCAAGATAAGTGACAACTTGCACCATGAGCCGAACGTCAAACACTTGCTAAAAATAAAAAAGCCAAGTGGCGTGTGGCATTCAGGCCGAGCGCCAGGCACTCACTCACACGGGAAAGTCAATATGAAAAAGTATTGAAAGTGGGTTTGAACAGAGCATAGTACAAAAAGTCTTATCGTCTCATTCATAATAAGCTTCAAGGTTACAAAAAGTGAAGCATTCAAATCACATGACTACAAAAGAGTATGAAATTGAGGGATCTGAAGAGCCCTAGCTAGCTGCCTCAGTACCGTTAGCTTCCTAGTTGTACCGACTCGCCTCTTCGTTCCCATTAGCCATCTCACCCTCACGAGGTGGGGAATCGAGATGAATAATAGAGTCGTTCTGCTGGGGCCCAACATCAGCAGTGACTATGGGAGATACCATAGTTGACGAAGGAAGAGCGATTAGAGGCTGAACGGTAGAAGGAGCTGTAGTGATCCTGGAGGAAGCAATCTCCTGACACTCATCAAATATGTGCTCGGCTGCGGTGGATTCTGGGTCAACATAGACCCCCAGAGGGTTAATCCCTAGATCCTTATCAATTTCATCCGGAGTTGAACTGGTCTGGCCCTCAGCTGGAACTCGGTCGGAAAAACCATCTCGGAATCCCTGAGCATATCTAAGAGCTCCAACTCTTGAAAACCGAGCATGAAGAGCCAACATACCACCATTCACTCTGCTAATGGTGTCAATCAGAGCGTTGCGCTCGTCCAGAGCTCTTTTCTCAAATGCCATCCGAGCAGACTGCTCGTCAGCCAGAAGGCGCTGGAGCTCTGCCTTTTCATCTCTGACTGAATCGCGCTCAGTCTGCCAGACACTCTTCTCAAGCTGAAGGGCATCTTTTTCATCCTGAAGAGAGTCGGTTTCCTTCTTCAGAGCATCTCTCTCTTTTTCAACTTTTTCAAACCGAGCCAATATCTCGGTGTTCTTGTTGGCAAGAATATTGTTTTCCTTATTAGCCACATCCAGGCTATCAGAGAGTTTACGGGCCCTGGCGTTCCCCATTTCCACCTGTTTCTGCATAGCCATCATACCGAACAAAGTCTGCATAGATATGCATGAATACTGGTTAAACCGATCGCCTAGTCGGACGAAGGCAAGAGCAAATATTATGAGAAGATTCATGAGTTAGAAAATAAAAGTCACCTCCATGGCAGATTGGGGAAAGCGGCTGAACACATCCTTTTGTGACAGACCCTTCGCTACCTCAAGGTCTTTTGGAGTCCACATGTTCCTATAGTACGCCATGGCGGTCTGGCCATCCTTGATCATGGTCTCGTTCGGCTTCACGAACGTCCCATCCGTTCGGGTGTATCGAGGAGCCCATGGTGGTAAAACAAGAGTAGAAGCAGAGGCAGAAGCTGAAGCAGAAGCAGAGGCAGCAGCTGCAACAGGCCCGGAGGGGGCAGGAGCTCTGACTGAGTGATGCAAGAGAGCGCTCGGCCCAGAAACTCGGGTCCTCCTTATAAGAGATTCCTCCTCGAGGTTGACTCCACCGTCAGGATGAGGTCTTTTGCCTCACTCTTTGTCCCGAACACCCCCAGCAGCAGCAGGGGTAGTAGTGATCTGTGGAGATGTGCTCGGGTTGGTAGCAGGGGCGCTAACAACAGGATCAATAGCCACCACACTCGGGATAGTGTCAGAGCTGGTGGCTGAAGAAGAGGCTGATGCGGGAGAGGAGGTTGCTCCAGCAGCAGTAGTGGCTGGGGGAGGATTTTTCCTCCTACCAAAGGAAGGAATCTGAAGCCTGCTCATTGTATAGCCGAGGGATGAGAGCGCTAGAAGGTTGTCTGAAGTGAGGAGGTCTGAGCAAGAAGGAATATCGTTCAGAACGTATTTCTTCAAGTAATTACTCCTATCCCTGCAAACACTGTAGCTCAAGTCATCATAAGGTATGCCTAAGGAGCGACATAAGAAAGTACAAAAGCGAGGAACACATGTTTTGCAGGGACAATCGTTTTTATGAGATTTGAATTTCTTATACGAGGAGACAGAACAGACGCCAAAGGCGCTCGGGATTGGGTAATCCTCTGCAGCCGGCGAAGACCAGGCCCCACTAACACCCACAATGTTATCCCTCCAACCCTTTTCAGATTTGATTGTATCCGTACATATGGACATCTTGTCGATCGGGTAAAGGTGGTAGAATGGCTCTTCAGTTCGGATCTTACTGACCTTATAGCAAAGAAGAAGATCTATGAGGTCAAGATCCAGACCTCTGTCACGAATCAGTAGTAACATAACGGATATGATTCTAAGGAAATTTGGGTTTACCTGCAGAGGGGATATCCCCAGTCTATTGAAAACATAGTTAAAAAAGGGATGCAGAGGGAACCTAACGACATTTAGTTGAAGGTTAGTAAATAAAACTTCGCCGGGAAGAAGGCCGGCACCGGTCATAATATTAACATCCCTAGGGCAAACCCTAACTTGGATGTCGTTAGGAAGTCTAAGTCTCATACGAAGAACATCTAGATCTACAACCATGGTGAAAGCGAATGAAGGATCCAAAAGTGTAAAAGAAGTCTACCGAAAGTAAAAAGGAACAAGACTAATCTTTGGGGTAGAAAGCAGCAAAGAACGCTGCAAGATTGCTGGAAGAGTGACTCTTGAAGAATTTCATCGGATGAAACTTAGCATGGTTCTAAAAAGACAAGCGAGAGATTTGACTGATGATGGAGAGAGATGGAGACGGTAAAAAGGCATGAAGTGACATTCTAGAGCCTCGTAAAGACGAAGTGGACCCGAGGGCCGAAGCGTCAGGGAGGCGAGAAGTTTATCGAATCTCGGAACATTGATTCCGGATCCGACCGTCCATTCCCCCATAAGAGTGTCTTAAGCCGTCAACGTCATGATGAGACGCCTTTGATAATTACCCCCTTATTAAATAGGGAGTAATTATGGGGGCAGTTGAGGAGGCCAGAAGTGATATGGGCCGGATATGACCCGCGAACATGGCATCCGGTCCGAGCAGCTGGGTCCAGCTCATAAAGAAATACTGCCATATGGGCCGAACGCGAATAGCCCATCGAAGATGACCAAAGCCCACAGAGGAACGGGTCCAGATCTAGCAACTCATTAATGTTTGTAAATACCTATAAATATGGGAAGTAATGGGGAGAGAGATTGATTCTGTTGAAGTGTAAGAATTTTAGAGAGAGAAAATGGAAATGAATTCCTTGCATCGTCGGTGAAAAATGATTTTTGGGGATAAAAAGACTTTTTAAAAGTAAAACAGGACTTTTTAAAAGTAAAGCAACCAAACGTTTTTTTTATTTTCAAATTCCTTCCAACAAATAATTCTTGTAAACCCATTGTAATGAAAGGATTTTTCACATCAGAAAACTCCTCAAACAAAGCCTAAATATTAGTGCAACTTGTTAGTTTGATAATAAGTCATTTTCCCAACTACTTTTGTCCAGTCAACTTTGGGAGCCACAATTTAATATGACTGATAAGTAGGAGTTGACTATAAATATGCCTCCACAATCGTAAAAAAAAAAAAAAAAAAATTTCAATAAGATATCAGCAACGAAGTGGAAACAAAAATGATTTTATACGTAAATGCATGGTTAGCATGGTAAGCCATCATAATTTGCAGATGATGGATGAACAATTTCTTTTCATACAGAGAGGTTAGACTAGAAAGAGATTTTGGGAATGAACAGTTTATCTATCTTAGATACTACTGATATACAAGAATTTGTAACAAATTAAAAAGAATTAAAGAATAATAAGTCAGAGAGTTCAAAATCAGAAGAGCTTGCTTCCAAATTCGTCAATGGCGTTCCCATCTCTACGCGAAGAAGCCGATGCCTTCGCGAGATCTCGAAGTTGTGATAAGCTTCTTCCCAACTTCAAAGCCACCTTCATTTGAAACAACTCTCCATTCTCTCCGTTATCTACTTCTCCTTCTTCGAGTGTGGATTCAATGGATTCCTCCAAAAGGCTAAAGAAGCCAGCGCAGTTTCTGTACATCTCCAACACCATCCCAACTTGACCACCATGCTCTAAAGTGTTAACTATGGTGGCTAAAGCTCCACCAACAACTGCCATTGTCATTGCCAATGATCCATGTGAAGAAGATCCCACAAAAGCAGATCCAATAGCTGCTATGCCAGAAACAACAGGCCCTGAGATGGCTAAAACCTTATTGATCTTCAATGCCAAGTTGCCAAGTCTCACATAGTCCTCCTTGTCTTTTCTCCTCAACACCTCAACAATCTCCCTCATTTCCAATTCCATCTCCTCACTCCATCCATTCCTCTCCATCTTTTTCCCATTAATCCGCTTTCCTAATTCACCTAATTTTCTAGGCCACCAAACAGCAGGCTCAAATTTTGTAGGAAACTTTTCAAGCATGACTCCTAGTAAGGGAAGTGGATATGCCCTGTCAAGTGTCAAAACCTTCTCCATCATGTCATTGACATCTTTTTGAGTTGGAGTGCGAAGAGCAATAATAGTTTGGACCTGTCCATGGAGTTGCTTAAACAAGCGCGCAGCATTACGCTGCTCTTCAGCAAGTTGTGATGGCTGAATCTTGTTCATCACAACCAGCATCCCGGTGGCTGCCGAGAACAATAGAGTGGAAGACAATTTAAATGCCAAAAGGGGCGTTCCACCCATTGCTGCAAGTCCGGCCATGGTGGCGGCGGTGAGGGTTATCATATTGATAGAATTCAAAAGAAGGGCATTCCAGTTGTCCCTCTGCTCACCCACATTGACGTGCATTTCAACTCGGTCAGCTATGGCCTCCATGATTGCGTAAAGCTTGGTGGTGGCCATATTTGAAACCGCTTTTGGCGAATAATTATCAAATTTATTTGGGATTGTGCTTGTGAATCCATCTCTCATTTTGAATTCCTCTATCAAGTTTCTTGGTAGTTTTGGAATGTTAGAGAGACTAATAACTCTTCTAAGCTTTGGGTTTGGGACATGCATATGAATGGTGCTATGCATTCTTTTTGAAGAACAACTACTTGAAGAAGAAGAAGAAGAACTTGAAGAAGATAATTGAAAAGATGAAGCTTGTAAGGCAGCCATGTGATGTTGGGTGTTTCTGTGTCTTATGAGTTGGTGGGAGGGAATTGATTAAGGTTGAGAATGGAAGGACATAGGTATGGTGGATCAATATTTATACCAACCAACTATAACGGGACAAGGTCAAGTATGTTGAAAATGTTGACTGGCTGAGTGGATTGACTTGGCTCATGGGCTGACCCATTCCCTATTCCAACTTACTATTTTTCTGCCCCTGGGTTTGGGTCTCATAAGACGGAGTAAAACTTTATACAAAGTTACAGTTTTCATATACAAATTGCATTTCAACTCTGGATAACCTAATGATGAAAACTCCCATCTCATTCGCTAGAGGTTAAGTTTGCCCTAAAGGGTCAGATTCGGGTTGAGGTGTGAATGTGGATCTTAAGACCCGACTCGGACTCGTAACCATTCAACGATTCCAAATTTTCAACTCCGCCTATTATACAGGACAAAAAAAGACACGGAATATACCTACTGCTAAAATGGGTATTATACTTTTAATTAATCTAAAAAACTCTGCAAGAGTATTGGACAATCCGCAAATCTAATTGGATGGGCCCAAAATGGGCCCACACCAAAAAGACCAGAGAATTTAAAGTGTGTGTGAAAGCGAGAGAAAGAGGTAGGTGAAGGAGCGAGTAATAGCATCATCATTGCCTCTCTCTCCTATCAAAAATTGATTTAGAGAGAGAGAGAGAGAGAGAGAGAGAGCGTCGGTCTCCTAGCAAATTGGAAGTAGGAGGAGGGAGAACGATGGGGTCAATAGCAAAGAAGGGATTGCAGCAGTATTTGTTTCAGCTTCAGCATCATCCTTTGAGAACTAAGGTCTCTCTCTATTTCTTGATTTGGGTATAGGTTATTTTGATGGAAAGCTTTTTCTGATAAATTGGGTATTTATTTATTTATTTTTATTTTGTTATGAATTTGATTGTAGGCGATCACAGCTGGAGCGTTGTCAGCGCTCAGTGATATAGCGGCTCAGAAGCTCTCAGGCATACAGAAACTTCAAATAAGACGCCTTCTTCTCAAAATTGTATCAATCCTCTCTTTCTCTCTATATATGTATATGTATAATTATACTATCAGTTGTGGGTTGGTTGTTGCTATCAACATTTCAATACGATGAATATTGGCAAAACGTTACTCATGATATCCTATTGATTCATCAAAATTTAGAACATTGATTTTATTCATTAACTTTTTGGTAAATGCACGCACATTTTCAAACTTGTAAAAAAAAAAAAAAAAAAAAAAAAAGGGCTTGATGAAAATCTGGATTGTGTGAAGTTGTAAACTCAGCTCAGCAGTATTAAAGTAAGGCTTATAGATTTTGGTACTGCCGTGCTTCTAAAGTTTCAAAATTTATCTGCTTAATTGCTCCAGATTTGTTCTGAATTTTGTTATAGATATATTTGAAGAATCGGTAGCCATTTTTATTTATTATTATTATTTTTGGGAGTAAAAATTGATTGCCAAAGTATTAGGAAAAATGGTCAGTGTAACCTAAATTTCCCTGGATAGTTCCTCTAGCAATTTAGTGGCTGCTGAATGTGTTCTTTAATCAAAATTGACCTCACCCTGATTTGGGCACTCTAGCTATCCAAATCCCATTGTGGTTGTTTTTACCAGAAATCTTGATCTAGTTGATAAATTTTTAACCATAGTTTGACTTGAAAATGTTTGGGGTCTTTCTGAGCATTGAAGCAGCTTTCAATATGAATCAGTTCTGAAGCCCATTGCTATTTTTCTCATATTTCACAGAGTAGCATTTCTATTTCAATCTCCAACGTGACCCTTCTTTAACTAGGATGCATATGGTACCATTTTGAGGAATAATGTCTTATGATGGGCGTCAAAATGATTCAAACTCCTGATGGAAATGAGGATGCTATGTTCAATGATAGGAGTAACTAAAGAATCAAGATAAATAATAAAAATGAGATGGAAACATTAGGTATAACACCTATAAATGATAAAATTAGTGATAGTAGACTTAGGTGGTTTGGCCATTTTTATGTAGAGCTGATGTTACACAGGTTAACAGAGAAAGAGGGCAAACAACAAAGAGGCAGACCAAATTATGTGGGATGAAGTAATTGAAAACGATTTTAAAAAATTAAATCAAAGAGAAGACAGTTTATATAATAGGAAAGAATGAAAGAAGAGAATTCATGTGGCCGACCCCATTCATATGGGATAAAGGCAAACAAGAATATAGATATAGTAATTTAAGCAGAATGCTTTTTCTAACTCTTGAATCTGGTAACAATTGGAAACGTCCCTCTTTCCAACCTTGCTCTCAATTCTGTTGGCCTCTATTTTGTTGTTATGATATGGAAATGGTTTTCCAAGTTTGGGTTACTATTACCGCACTTGATCCTCTACGTTAAAGTGCTATATGCGGGGCACATAATTTTCTACTATTAATCCACACATCCATATAATATGTATATACATGCATTATAAATTTGACGGAATTATCTTAATTAATACTAGTTCATATGCATGCATCTTCAGTCATATATACGTCTTCAATTTTCTATTCTGACATAGCTAAATGCAGCTTTTAGGATTTGCCTATCTTGGACCATTTGGACACTTTTTCCATATATTACTGGATAAACTTTTCAAGGGAAAGAAGGATTCAAAAACAGTAGCCAAGAAGGTACTTTCTTCAACCCGTTTACTCTGTTTTTCATAGTGGTGATGGGCAGACGATATGGATGTGGATTTAATAACCATTGCAGCCCAAATAACCTTAAGATTAAAAAATTCCATCCGTCTACGTGGCTGTAAAAAATACTAGTGGCTACAAAAAAATTGTCTGTGTACCTCAGTTTCGATTCTATCTCAGTGTCTCACTATTTATTGTTCAAAAGTAGAATGTAATGTAGTTGAGGAATCTTATAAGCTTAAATAAATACTACTGGGCCACTGGCTGTTCAATTAACCTATAATTGTTCTTTTGCTTATTAAAAAAAAAAAACCTATAATTGTTAAAAAAATAGAATTTTGATATAGTTAAGAATCTTAAAAGTTTAATCAAGGACCTGTTAACCTTAACAGAGTTCCTTAAAAGCTTAAATAAGTATTAATGGCTGTTCAATCAATCTCTAGCTCCCCTCTCCTTTTCTTTAGGAGGGTAGGGAATTAGAGTTCGGGCTAATTTAACTAGTCCAAATTAATTATTTCAGGTGGTGCTGGAACAGTTGACTTCTTCTCCTTGGAACAACTTGCTTTTCATGGTTTACTATGGATTGGTTATTGAGGGTAAGTATGCATCACAGCTTGTGAACAAATTTTTTATATTCAAACTTGCCTGTGGTTGTTAGGGGCCATTGCTTAGTGCTGTGATAAAAACTTATGCTACCAATTTTTAGAACATGGCTTTGTGTACAAATACTCAGTCCACCCCTCTGATTATTCTCAATTAACGGGGACCACATTGAGTAATGGCTTCTCCTATTGAATCCTACTGAGAAAAATATGTTCAAGAAAGGGATAGGAAGTATATTAGGTTCCACGGAAACCCTTATATGTAATACCAGGACAAAAAAAATAATACGCAACTGTTGCGAAAATTATTTGAGAATCAAATGCCAAATGTATGTGAGAAGAATAACTAGAAGCATATTTTGTTTCGTTATTTTCTCAAAGGGAAGTATATTCTTAGTTAGCTCTGCATCAACTCTTAAAGTTCATTTTTTTATCTTTCATATAGTTCTACTACAAATAGTTAGGAAATGGCTTTACTGAGTTAGTTGTAAATGTACTACTGCTAGAATAATAAGAGTTATAGAGACAACTCTCATTTTCTCAAATAAAGTCGTCTTAATTGAAGTGTGATGGTGAATTTGCTAGTTATGAGTATTTCATATAGCAGTTTCCTGAGCTAGAAATAATGATGCTATTGTCAGTCCATCATCATCTTTGCTATATATAATCCTATGGAAGTGCAGGAAGACCCTGGGTCCATGTGAAAGCTAAAATCAAGAAGGACTATCCTGTGGTGCAGTCTACATCATGGACGGTATTTCATTTTTTCTTTCATTTATTTATGTTATTCTGTTATATAGGAACATGATCCTCTTGTTACTTAGAAATCTCTAATGATCAAATATGCAGTTCTGGCCAGTAGTGGGGTGGGTAAATCACCAGTACGTGCCACTACAGTTCCGCGTCATCTTCCATAGTGTCATTGCGTGTGGCTGGTATGCACTTCTCGCCCTCTGTACTTCTTCCTATGTATATAATTTTTTTCTTGTTGATTTCCATTTCCATTGTTTACCAATAATATTGACTCTGCCAATTTCTTTTCTAATTTTCTAGGGGAATATTTTTGAATCTACAAGCAAGGTCTATGGCATTGACTAAGGGTTAAGTGAATGGAAGGAATCCGTCAATAAGTCTACTGCTTTAGACGAAATGCCATGTATCCGGGCACGTTCTACGTATGCTAAAAGTTCGTTTTCATTTTCCCTTTCTGGGATATATTAGCATATGTATAAACTATAAACAGAAGAGTGGTTGCTTGTGTTGGAGCAATCTTTAACTTCAAATATAGTCAGAGGTGTATGTTGTTTGTTCTGGATTGTTGATGAAACATTAAATATTTTACTGTGAGGTTCTCTTTTAGGTTAAATACCTCGATTTAAAGCTTGTTGTGCAGTGGTTGTTTACAAGTCAATTCGATTCACTAGTTGTTCAATTCGAACATTGCAGTCAATTTCTAATTTATATGCTGCAATATAATTTTAGAGGTGGCTATGCTTCTAACGGTTTACCTTTGTAATCATTCAAGACCAATATAGCTAACCATGCATTCGAGGTACAGTCACAAGCAGGAAGCTTGTGTAGGGAATTATAATTTTGTGTCGAGCTTGCGCAATGGTAGGTTATTCTATTGTGATCTGGAGGTCATGTGTTCGAAATACTGAAATAGTGTCACCACATGTTAAGGGAAAGCTGAGTATATCTGACCCTAGACACAGTCATGGTGGAATTCTAGTGCACTAATTTTGTCCTTTATGAATTAATTTTTCAACTGTAGGTTGTTCAACCTTTCCGATTTATGTTATTTACGATTTACGATTACTGATTACGTGCATTCCCACAAATTATTTTTGACTGATTTACAGTGTGTAACTAGAAACAAATAACGCACACAAATCAGACGTACACTCACACAAACACACACATACATGAGCACATTGACCAAATCTATAACTGGATCCGAATCTTTACGCATGCATGGACAAAATGGAGGTAGATTTGCAAATTATTTTAGATGACAGTTTTCAACATATCCATGAGACCCAAAACATGAATATGAGAAACAGGTGATCGAGGATGGATGCTTTTATCTCTTTGGTTGATAGAGGATATACATTAAAAAAAAATTTGGAAAATAAACTGTGACCTGGGCTAGTCCGGTTCACTGAGGCTATTGTCATTGCTGGTGGGTTTAAAAAGTATCAGATGTGTGTATGACTGTATGCCTCACCTTTGCATGTGAAGAAGTCGAGATTGTATCAACATTTGATGACTTTTTAAGTATAGTAAAAACAAAACAACATTTTCAGTTTCGTTCTGTTCTACGTTGATGTCATTCAAAACCCTGTCAGTGAATAATAAGCAAGGATGAAGAAGAATATGTCTATCTAAAACTCATTTAGATTATTTTGATAAATGTTTGAATTATTAAACAGGAATCTTGCAGGTATACTTGGTAATATTCTTATGATCCTCATTCTGTCTTTTATTGAATGTATATATGAGTGTATACCAACATATTTGTATATTGAATTAGAAAGAAGATCTGAGGATATATTTCGGGGTTTTAAACTCACATATTTCCAAAATCCGCGTCATTGAGTATACAAACAACAAAAAGAAAATTAAAAAAAGATCCATGTGAATAATTATGAATATTATGGAATAACACAAGGAAAATGAGTGCCAGACACTTCACTTCCTTTTCCCCCCCCCCCTTTTTTTTTTTTTTTTTTTTTTTTTTAATTATAAAAAAAATCACTCACTTCACAAGCGTGTGTGCTTTACCGCATATTCCATAATTATAACTCGGCAATTGGCCCAAAGGGTTTTGACTTTTACTTCTCCTCGCCAGTATGAAAGTCAAAATATGTGTGTGCCATACTTGCTCTAAAGATTAAAAAAAAAAAAAAAAATTCAAATTCCATAACACAATGTAATATTAAAAAAATAATATAAATGAGGGTAAAGTGCAAAATATTGATCTGAATTATCTTTAAATTTGTAAATAATCTTCTAATAAAGTATATATTGTGCATAATACCTCCTGAAGTATTACATTTTGTTGCAAAATGTGTAGATTATTTTCATTAAAATGACGATAATGCCTTTTTTATTTTCTTATTTTTTATGAATTGCACTCAATCTATTTTTCTTATTAAAATAAATTAAGAAAGAAATTCATACTAATTTGATGAAATATTCTCCATTAATTTTTAATAAATTTACTTTTAATTTTTAAAATTAATTATTTAATTAAAAATCTTAAGTAGAAAATTTTACAACAATTTAAGTAATTTCTTAAATTTCATGAATATATTGCATTAAAAAGAATGTATTTTTTATTTATATAATTTATTAATTTTTCATGAATCCATTTATTTATTTTTTCTATTTTTATGAAAAATTGATACTAAAAATAAAGTTAAGGTAAATGATATAATTAAAAATTTAGATAAGAGAAAATATAATAAAAGTATTTTAAGTAAGAAATGACAATTTTTTCCTACTTATTAAGAAATGAAAAATTTAATGAGAAAATGTAAAATAATAATTTGTCCTTAATAGTAACAAACCAATAGTTTAGGATATTATTTATAAAAAGACAATAGTTTAAGAGAATTTTTTATAATTTACTTTATAAATTATTACCTATACAATGTAAAAATACATGAGAGAACGTGAAATGAGGCGACATAGGAGAAAATCCGATCCCCCTTTTAATACATGTATATCATAATTTACAAGGGTCACGGGTCTCTCTGTCATAAAATTAATGCAACTTGGATTAGATCAAGTCACATGATGTTACCAATTTTGAAATAGCCCAGACAAAATAGTTGAGTTGTCAAAGGTCGTTGCTTCGTTGGCCGTTTCAAGATTTGACTAGTTAAATAGTGTGTTGAATCATAAATGTCAAAGTAAAATTGCTCAAGCCCCATATCCCAAGCACCAAAAATTAAAGGCTGGGATGGGGTCACAGATTAACCAATAGAGAAGAAATAGTCCACACCATTCACCCATTCAATTCAAACTCTTCAGTCTCCTGTCTGCATTAACCAACCCCTTCCTCTATATATATATAGACCATCAAACAACCACAAACATCACTCATCAAATCCTAAAAATCCATTCACTACACAAAAAAACATCAACACCTCATCAACCTTCCAAGTTTTGAATACCCTTTTATAGGAAGAACTAATTAGCCACAACAAAACATGGCAACCCTTCAAGCATCAAGTGTGATGTCTTCATCCACTTCTCTTTCCTCGTGTTGCCGGAGAGGAGTAATCAGAGGGACCATCAATGTACCAAGACTCCGGCCAAGTCATCTCTCCCTTCCCAACCTCTCAAACAGAGGTTTGGTTGAGGAATTGCAGTTGAGAAGTGGTTACACAAGTCCAACCACTACCCACATTGAAAAGCATTCCAACTCTCCCAAAAATACAAGATTTGATAATACTAATGCTGCCGATCCTGCGGTGATGGCTAAGCTTTTTGCGATCATGGAGGCCGTTGCAGACAGAGTGGAGATGCATAAGAACATTGGAGAGCAACGAAACAACTGGAACAGCCTGCTTTTAACATCCATAAACGCAATCACACTTGGTGCTGCTACCATCGCTGGTATTGCAGCTTCAGGTGCTAATCTTGGTGCCCCTTTAATGGGACTCAAGCTTTCCTCTACTGTGTTGTATTTGGCAGCTACTGGGATGTTGTCCATCATGAACAAGATTCAACCTTCCCAACTTGTTGAAGAACAGCGAAACGCTGCGAGGTTGCTTAAGCAGCTCCAAGGCCAAATTCAGACAATCATATCCATTGGCACACCCACAGTTGGTGATGTCAAGGAATTTATGGACAAAGTTTTGGCTCTTGACAAGGCCTTCCCACTTCCTCTACTAGGCGCGATGCTCGACAAATTCCCATCTACCATTGAACCTGCAGTGTGGTGGCCACAACAGCGACGAAGACAAGCAAAAGGGCTTGGTAGTAATGGATGGAATGGAGAGTTGGAAGAGGAAATGAGAGAAATAGTTGGGGTTTTGAATAGGAATGACAAAGCAGACTATTTGAGGTTGGGTGAGAAAGTCTTGAAACTTAACAGAGTGCTAGCCATTTCCGGCCCTTTACTGACAGGCCTAGCAGCTATTGGCTCTGCTTTTGTGGGATCTCCTTCTCATGGTTCATGGGCTGCGATGCTCGGTATTGTTGGTGGTGCTTTGGCAAGCATTGTGAACACATTAGAGCATGGTGGGCAAGTGGGAATGGTGTTTGAGATGTACCGGAGCAATGCTGGTTTCTTTAAGCTCATGGAAGAGTCTATTGAATCGAATCTGACTGAAAGAGAAGTGGGGAGGAGAGAGAATGGGGAATTGCTTGAAATGAAGGTGGCTTTGCAACTGGGAAGGAGCTTATCAGAGCTTAGGAATCTGGCTGCTTCCTCAAGAAAGGGGGAGGTCACTGAAGAGTTTGCAAGCAAGCTGTTCTGATGATACTTCTGGTTCATCTTCACTCCTTTAAGAAATTTTGTACGTAGTACATTCTTGTACATATATCTAACACTAACAATGTCTATAAATCAACCCATAGAATAGCTAATTTGATTCATTCATTCAATCTATTGACATCTTATGAAGATTGAATTACTCCATTGTTTTAACTTGGCATTCAAACAAACATGCAGTGCAATTCAAAAGGCAACACAACAATATGGAAATGGAATAAGATAAAAAATGTATATGTGGGTGAAATTACAAGTTCTCATGCCCACTAAGGGTTATTAAGATTGAGCAATAATGTTGTTTATGGTCATGAAAATCAAACATTGGGCTATGACACACGGTCGATTTGATTCACCATCTGTTTAATTCTAACATTGCAGTAAATTTCTAATTTATATGATGCTATATAATTTCAGAGGTGGCAATATGCTTCTAAAAGTTTACCTTCATAACCATGCAAGACCGATATAGTTAACCATGCATTTAAGGAACAGCCTTAAGCAGTGTAGGGAAAATCTAATTTTGTGTTTCTAATTTATGTGATGCCATGCAGCATTTGTAGCAGCGGGGCCGGCCTTGGGCCAAGGCCTCTCAGGCTGTCGCCTAGGGCCTCCAATTTGAACCCAAATATTTGTATTACTAAGACCTCTCAAACGTTTGGGCCTTGCATTCACCTAGGGCCTTAAAAAATATTGGGTCTCTCAGAGCCGGCCCTGTGTAGCATCATGTATCTTCATCCATGACAGAACATGCATCCAAATACTATTGGGCCAAAGGCCCTTGGGGTTAAAATTTAAAAGAAAAAGAAAAAAAAGTTTGAGTAACTAGAGTTACATTAGATATACATACACACACTCACACA